AAGTGTGATTACGCAGCAGCCCAATGTGTAACCGCTATGCCACCAGGGCTAGAAAACTGAACAGGATGTAACTACTCACAATACATGAAAACTCTGTTAGCTCTTATACCTTCCAAAATACCCACCACCCTCGAGGCAATTCCGAGTCATAGCAAGCCTCAGGACAGGGTAGAACTGCCCCTGTGGGTTTCCAAGATTGTCACTCTTTCCGTGAAATAGAAAGCCTTATCTCTCTCCAGTGGAGTGGCTGGTGGTTTGGAACTACTGAATATGTAGTCAGCTGACTAAAAATAGGGCCTTTACTGGCTGTCAGTCCTACCATATCTGACTTTGGTACTTCCAGAGCAATGCCCTGGAACTAACCCCCAAATATGCAATGCGGACTTGAATTTTCATGTTTGGATTTGCTTGGAGGGACCCGAGCTAAGAAAATCAGGTCTCAGCAGAAAAGGAAGAATTTGACAAATGTTAACATGCACTGATTTTATTTCCAACTAGGAAAATTAATTACAACAGAGCTTTTACAACTTTTGTTGTATATGAAACACAAAATAATGCACAGAGTTTTATACTTACAAAGAAAACATTCCAAAGTAATGGGCTTTTCTATGGAAAGTAAAAGGTTTCACGGGGTGTAATTTGACATCATTATTCATCGGGTGCTGTATGAGTGTGTGAAATAATAAAACTTGGCTTATAGTAAGAAAGAGTGGCATAAATCACACCCAGATGCAATACAGAAGTCCCGGGACCCGCACATGTAGCTCACTCAAGATGGTAGCAAGTCAAAAATAGAAGTTCATAAGAATAAGGGTGACTTCCAGTTTCAGTTCTACCACACAAAGAGCTTGGAGAGCACTGCTCTGGTTCTCACAAGAAAAAGCTCACCTAACTAAAAATCAATAGATGCATTTGGATTATGGTGCGCATGGAAGAATATTCAAAGCCCCGGGGACTGCCAGAAGAACAAGCAAATCCGCCTTGGGGGAGTACAGCCAGCAAGCATGCTCCTCGGAAGCGAGGATGGTGAGATTTCATCTCACGTACTTGGAACATGTTATCAGGAGAGACTAGTCCATGGAGAAGAGCACCACGTTTGGGTGAGCAGAGTCAGCACAAAAGAGGAAGCTTCTCAGTGAGGAAGATCGTGCGCGGCCCCAGCCATGATTTATCTCGTCCAACACAGGGACACCATGAGTCGGAACGAATGGAGGGCCCTAACGAAGACAAGGACAGAGACTGGGGACTCTGCAGTCAATGAAGAGAGAAGGGTAGTAAAGAAGCGAGATCGAGAAATACTCGGAAGGCCTTTCAGAGAAGGAATAATAAAAGTAAAATAGTTTATTATTCTTAATGGGCCCAATGAACCCTGGTGGCATGGGGGATTAGGCGTCGTACAACCCACTGCAAGGTTGGCGGTTCAAAGATGCCATGCTCAGCATGAGAAGATAAGTCTATCGACAGCCCTGCCTTTGGGCACTTCTGTGTTGTCATACAGAGTAGCTGTGGGTCAGAACTGACTAGATGGCAGCAAGTTTAATAATCTTTACGAGGCTCAATGGCAGCAGGATATTTTGATTGGAAGGAGGCCTTGTGGAAATACGGTGAAGCACTGAGCTGCTAATCAAAGGGTTAGTGGTTCAGTTCACCAGCCTCTGTGCTGATGAAACACCAGAGGACCAGCTCCCATTCAGATTACAGTGAGCCCTCGTTTATCGCGGTTAATCAGTTCTAGACCCTACCGTGATAAATGAAATTCCGCGAAGTAGGATTCCTTATTTGTAAATCAAATATTTTCGT